AGGGTTCCAGTTCTGTAAGATGAAAAGAGCCCAGAGATGACGGCGGAGATGACGCCACAACAATGTGAGTGTACTTAGTGCCACTGAACTGGACATTGAAAAGTGGTTAAGATGGTAAATTGATGTTTTGTGTATTTTACCACAAATTAAAACAAAAATAAAAACAGTGATTGAATTTCTAAAAATCAGTAAAAATAAAAAGAACACTTACATTTCCGACTTAAATACCTTCCTGCACAACTTTATAATGCAATGGTGCTGGTACTGGAAACTCAAGCCCCAAACTACTCCTACTTCTCGTGTCACTAACGCCCCTTCCCCAACCTCCCACCGGCTGGTTCTTATCTCAATGAATAGTGTCATAGAGAACAATAAGCTGTTAAGAAAGTCTATCAGTAAGTATTTCCACAACCTAGAAATTGTGTCGTATTTTGTGGGGGAGGTGAGTCTGTCTTTTTTTCCCCCAAGAAAATACTGAAATTAGTTTTCTGGTTTTGCCAAGATGAGGAGCTCAATTAACATCAAAGGAGCCTGTCAGACGCAGCCCTCCCTGCCCACTGCCTGCTCATCCTGTGTCCCCTTTCATTCATTCAATGGATGTGTTTGGAGAGCCTGCGCTGTGCCAGGCATTGTCCCAGGTGCCGCGGATTCGGGGGTGCACAAAACGGACAAGGGCCATGCTCCTCGCCCTAGCTGGGGAGACAGAAAAACAAGTAGATAAGTAAATGGGTACGTTCCTTCTTGATAGAAGAGTGACAAGAACAGTAAGGAGGGCGAGGGGCATGTCCCTCATCTCCGGTCTGAGCCAGACTGGGCACTCCCATTCCACCTTCCTCCCCTCCCACCTCCCGGGCAAGTAGAGCAGCCTTGGGATGCATCTGTGGTCCCCACACTGTGAGCCCTTCAAGGTGGACCGGGCCTGGTAGCTCTGAATCTCTAGTGCCCAGGGCCAGTGACTGCCAGAGGCTGGTGGTTTAATTCCTGAAGGCTGGGCTGGACCAGCAGCTTCAGGGGGCCGTTCCTGCTCCGCCAGCGCCCCCTGCTGGGAAGGAGCTGTTCCTGCAGCCACGCGAACTCACACTCCCACAGGAGGGGGCTTCTGTGCCTCCCTAGTCCCTTCCTCCTGCCCCAGAGTCTGTTGTGACCACACCTGATCCCTCCCCTTTGAGGATGAAGATCACAAAGAAGAATCATTCCAAAAGAAATCAATTTCCTTCTCTATTACTGGTACTAACTGTTTAGGCCACTTTGGACAATGTTTTTTTTTTGTTTTTTTGGTTTTTTTTTAATTTTTATTGGGGAATTGGGGGAAGGGGAACAGACAAGTTGCTGTCCTTTTGTTCTTCAGTCTAGTTGTGGAGGACGTTGCTTCACTGGCCCAAGTTGGCACCATCATTGCGCTCTTCCCGGGCGAGGCAGATCAGTTGCCGGCTTCTGGACGGCCACCCACGGTGGCTGCTGGCCGCTCACGCTGGCTGCTGTCTACACACGGTAGCCCATGGCAACCCACTGCAGCAGGGGCTGCAGCCTACGCCATCCCTGGCGACTCACCGCAGCCCAGCTCCAGGTCGAGCTGTTGTTCAGCATCTTAGCTGTGGAGGGCAGTGTCACTGGCCCTCATATGTGGGATCCAAACCGGGGCCCTCTGGCGTCCCAAGCCAGCTCTTAACCAACGTGCCACTCGGCCGGCCCTAGCCCGTGATTTTTAACCTTTAGAACGATGGTCCTATAAGTTCTATAATAACACCCGAGGCATGGTTAAGAACAAGGCCTTCTTGGAGCCCACAGGAATGCTTGTACAGATTTAACAAGCCCAGTCCCCGCACCTTGGGTTGGACTAAGTTGGCACCTGACCTTCTCTCCTCCCACTGGCCTGCCCAGCTCTTGGGAGAATGGCAGCTTATTTTTCTTGGTGTCTTCAGCCCTCCCGTGGTGCTAGATTTCCCATTCAACATTTGACTGAATGACTACATCTGCCTTTCTGTCTCCCATTCCTTATGGGGTACCTAGTTTCTGTCCAGCCATTTATTCACTCCACCAGGCTGACAGTCATTCATTCCACAGGTAACTGAGTGTGCCAGGCACGGCGTCACCTGCTGAGGATACAGGTGAGGTTGATCAGGACAGACAGAGCCCGGGCCCCCCTGGAGGTAGGTGAGGCAGACACAGTAATCAAATGATACAGACACAATTGTGGCAAGTGCTGTGAAAGAAATGCACTGGGCGTCTATCTTCCGGGTTCAAGGTGAGGCTGGAGGGGCGTGAGCGAGGGCGACCCAACACAAGGTCAGTGAGGCAGCCAGATCCTGTAGGGCCTGGCAGGCCATAGAACAGAATTTGGATTTTATTCTAACGTAACAAGGAGCTAATAAAGGTTTAGGCAAAGCCCAAGATATCTGATTTATGGTTTTTAAAGACCCCATTGGCTGCTGGGTACCATGCAGAATGGCTTGGAGAGGGGAGGGGAGGCAGAAAACCACATTCGCGACTGTTAAGAGGCCCAGGTGAGATGGGGTAATGGGGTGTGTGTGTGTGGACATTTGGGGTATGTTTTGGGTGGTGCCTGCAGCCATACTGAGAATTGGATGTTAACTCTTACGATTAACAGCAGATCATTCTAAGCCAAAGTCCTTAGAAGATACAGCCACAAGAGTCCATGAGGCGAAGTTTCTGGTAAAGAAAAAGTGGGGGTGACAAGGCAGATAGGACTCGAGCTGGGCTTGCGTCTCATGTCCAAGAGGAGCTGGTCGCTTGGACTCCCTGCCAGCCTGAGCCTATCTTTCTCCTTATTCACTTACAGCAGCAGGAAAAAAATCCTTCAGAACTAATGCTTTACATCTTCCCGTGCTGCCTCGTCTGACAGCTGTTTCGCCAAGCTAGTTTAAAACTTTAAGTTCCAGGCCATTATTATTAACTCTCAGTGTCTCTCGTGTTTCAAGAAATACGTGTCGTTATAAGTCAAGTTGTATCCACACACAGCATGCACATTTACTTATTGTCTGTGGCTGCTTTGCAGCGTGAGGGTGGAGTGAGTAGTTGTGACACCACATGGCTGCCATCTCTGTACCTTTAGGGACTTCGCTGACCTGTCCTCCATCAGTTAGCAGGTTCGCACCAGGCTGACGCCAGGACCCCACACTCACATCTATGATGGACCCACTTCCTCACACACGATTCAAGACTTCATGTTCCAAAGTTCTGGTTTTGGGGAAAAGAAGCCACAGGTGCTTGCTAGCTTCTTAAAATCCAATGTTATGTGTGTGCATAAGCTGACTCCTGGATGCCCAGGGCTCCCCTTGGGCTGGGGGGATGCCCTACGGACCCCTGAAAACTCTGAGTGATTATTTTGCTCTTGGGTGTGGGAGTGGAGAACAATTGACTCCAGTATGATTGGTGGGGTGCCCTCTCAAGCTTTATTAAAGCCCATCCCCATCCGTTTCTTCTTCTAGCGAGTGGAGGAGCACCAGACCCCAGTAGCAGATGGTCCACAGGGGTCACCCAAGATGACAACTGGGTCCCCCCTACAGCTCCCCCTCCCAACTTGTTGACTTATGAAGAGGTGGAAGGACCGGTTTTCCAAGATGCAGAAGGGCCCTCTTAACTTTCCAGGTGGTCAGGGGTGGGAGAGGAGGGAGGCAGGTCTGAAGGTGGCAGTGCCAGAAAGCAGGGGTGTGCCTCGCTCCCCCAACTCCCACTCTTGAGACAAATGACCTTCGTCTAATCTGCCTTGAACTGTGCAAACCAGCTTCAAGTCCCCATTCCAAAGAAGGCCTTGCACTAATCTCTATTTAGAAACCCCATAAACACCAATTGACTAATTTCAGACCCCAAGTCCCTTAGAAATAAGCTGCGTATGCAATCATGTAAATTATCGTCCAAACCAGGACTTTAAAACAAAATGTACCACCAGAAAATTACATGATGAGCTTTAAAAACTGTTAAGTTGAATTTCCTTCTTTTACCGGTTATTATACTCTTAATTACTTATACTTTTAATTACTCATACTTCTTTTATTATATTTATAAAAGTATAATAACTTTTTACCCATTATTATACCTTTAATTTTCTCAACCTAATCTACTTTTTTTGTAGGTAATGAAAGTAAATAAGCATTATATAATCCTAATTAAGAAAGGTTTACTTAATAGCACATTTGTTCACTTATGCTTTCTGGAATTTAGGGTGTCTATTATGAAAATATCAAACCTCAGCTTTAAAGTTATTCTCACTTTTCATAATTTGTCCTAATTACCACCTACTCTTTAATACTAACCACAAGTTTAAAAAGCATTTTAGCAATATAGATGTGATGCAAGGAAGCTATTTTCATATTCAGTGACTGGCATAGGGATATACTAATTACTTGCATAAGTACTCAGCTGTTGCCAAGTATTAAAATGTAAGTTCATTGTTCTTTCAGCTTCTAAATTCTGGAGTTCCTGAATTTGTAATCAATGAAACTACCTGAATAAAAAATGTAAATGTGTGACATAGAAGGTCCATGAAAGCTAAGGTTGAGATTAAATTGTCCGATTTTTCATAACACATAGCTAAGTGAGAATATACCTACTCTATCAACCTCAGAGAGCTCTGATACGTGACACAAAAACGACCTAAGCTGGATGCTAATTTGAGGTCTACTACCTAGGAGGACCACCTTATAAAACAGATGAGGATCACAGTCTTTCAGATGCCAATGTTGTCTACAGCTACAAACAAAAAACCTCGTTTTCTGTGGGGGAGGGGAGTGGGCAGGGGGGTAAGATTCCATGTTGTCAGGGTGAAAGAAAATCATACTACAAATAATTTAACTGTTCATTTTGAGGGAAAAGAAACATATAATGCCGTGAAACAGGAGCTAAGGTTAGTTTTTCACATTAGCCTTCTAAAGGAGGTATTTGCAAGCCACTTTCCTTTATCACACTCCTAAAACCATACCAGCAACAGGTCTATTTCCAAACAGAAAAGAAATATGTAAAGTCCTTTTCAGAAGGAAAGCTTTTACCAAAAATGTAAAATTTTTATTAGTTTAAATTATAAACCAAACGCTGTTGATCATATGCAGGCATGTTTGCTGTGGGCAAATTATTGGGTTGTTAGAAAAGTCACGACGTATTTTTTCTGCGTCATGACTTTTCCGACAACCCAACAAGATTGTGGGGTCATATTTTTAATACGACTTCAGAATTGGTTGCAATAAATCAATACATTTTCTCAGAAGTTGCATGATTTCCTTCGGTTTACCATCTATGATGTGGAAAGTGTAATATAATGTAAAATAATTTACCATCTACCCTAAGAGTAAGCTATAGAAAATTGAATCACCATTACAGTCGAATAACAAGGTTTTAAGGTCTCAGCAGTTTCTCTTAAGGGTATATAAATATATAACTCTTGAAAGGTAATACTGTTTTTTCGAGCTGTAATATCCATAAAAATAACAGTTCCGCCACAGTGCAGATTAAGTGCATTCATTTGCTTTCGTGATGACCCCCACTAAGCAGCTTTCAGGTTAGCATTGGAAGATGCAGAATCATACATCCTATGTGAAATAATGAAGACAGTTGAAAAACAGAATGTGCAAATAATAAACTTTAAAATTCCATACTCTAACATCGTATGTCCATTAACAGGATTTCCAATTGATTTAATTAATACTCGAGATAATCTCAGATCGCAGCGTCCTCTTGCAACGCTGTCCGGCTGACTCAGATCTGAGGTCTCTCGCTGCAACAGGGAAAGTGGTCCTCGGTCCGAAACAGGACAGGGGGTTCGTAGCGGGCCTGCTGGGGCCTGCTGGAGGGCCCCTTGTTGAAGATAGAGGGCACTTGAATTGTGTGCAGCAGTTTTCTGAATGTACTGGGGAAAGTCCCCAGCTCGGCCTCCGCCCTGGCGACTTGCTCCTCCATTCTGGCCACGCTGGTGCCAATCATCCGGACGAAGGCCTCAAGTCTGTCGATCTTGCTGTACACCTGCCGCATCTCGGTGGCTTTCGCGTAAATGCGAGGCACGCCCTCGCTGACCACATGGGAGGAGTCGCCCCGCAGCATGTCCAGCATGCCCACGAACTCGTCCACCCTCGTGAGCAGGTCCTCCAGGCTCGCGTCCAGGGCCTCGACCTCCAGCCGCGCCTCCGCTCCAGGCAGCAGGCAGGCGGAGTAGCCCGCGGCGGCGCGGCGCAGCAGCGGCAGGTCGCGGCCAGGCGCGCCCGGCTCCGGGCCCTCGTCCTCCCACGGCACCGAGGCGCTGCTGTGGCTCTGGGACACGTTGCCGCTGTCCGCGCTCCAGGCGGCGCCCTGGGGCTCGGCCTCCTCCGCCGATCCCTCGCGAGACAGCTCACGACTCGCCGGGGGACCCTCCATGGCCCGAGACGGCCGGGGTTACCAGCCCACTTCCGCCCTCCGCGCGCGCACGCGCACGCGCTCGCACAGCACGCAAGCCCCTGCTTCCGGCCTTCGCGCACGCGCACGCACCACGCACGCTCCCTGCTTGCGGCCTCCGCGCGTTCGCGCACGCGCGCTAAGGTTTCTGAGCGCATGCCCTCAGTCAGAAACCTTTTTAAAAATGAAGGTATACCGGGATTATAGTAAAGTGCATACATCTTGAGTGTACACATTGATTATTTCTTACCGAGCCATACAACCATGTAACCTCCACACAGATCAAGACAAAGTACGTACGTGGTCGGGACCCAGGAAGGGATCCCTCCTAGCCCTAGTTTCTTGCCACTTAACGGTAAAATGGAAGAGATGAGAAATAAGCAAAAGGAAGGTCTATTAAACCTGATACCCTTGATGGCTTCGCAACTTCTCGGCCTCTTCAGATGGCTAAAATAAATAAAATTCAGAAATAGCGCATAACAAAGATCAAATCCAGGGCACCGCCAGAAAAACCAGAGGTATGACGGTAAAATCCCTCTTCCCAACTCCCGCTTCAGTTGCCCAATTTATTATTAAACAAGTCAATGCCATCTTTGTGTAAAATAATTTTTTCCATTTTCATGCTCAATTATTAGGTATTGAATGGCGAGAGTTTAGAAAGCAGAGAAGCAAACAATACAAAATCCTTTTTAAATGAAAACATGTCCGAAAAATCGGAGGTGGTGGCCCAGAGTACCATTCGGTCAGAATAACGGCTCTTTAAAGAGATTCAGGCTGTGCCTGCAAAGCCTCTCAATCAAACAGTAAATAGAGTCTCCAGGGAGCTTCAGGGCTTGTCCCTTGGCATTATCAGCAGAGGCACAAGTTAGACAAGAACTTACCTCCAACAGATTTGAAGGTGGGGCTTTGTCTTATGGAGTGAACTCCAATGAAATTCACAGGAAACCTACAAAGTTTTAAAGATAATTATATCAGGAAAAACACTGCAGCTTAGACTGGAAGGGACAGAGATGGAACAAAATTAAAGGTCTTTTGGACTCCCCACCCCCACCCCAATTTCTACAAGCACGAAGCAGGTTGAGAAAATTACTCATCTGCAAACACATGCTACCTTTCATGAAACAGGAAGTATGACACAAAGGGTGGGACCAAGAGCCATGGAGCTGAGAACCATGGAAAATCAATTCTTTCTAGGCCTTGAGACTGGATTGCAGAATTACTACGGATCAGCAATTCCTTTGTGCCTCCCATATCCCCCCATATTTGAAAGCAATATCTAATGGTTATCTTATGTCTGCCCCAATTGTATATTGGACGTGTGAGGGCAAATACTTCTCTCTTTAGTTTCAAAGTTCTACAGATCAAGAACTGTAGGTTAGGGGTTGGATTTGAGGGACTACTCATGAAGATTTATCTACATCTGATGGCAAAATTCTGGTCTTGGAGTTGATGCTACAATAGAATGTAACTTTGGGGACCTTGGGTGGGGGTGAGTGTGGTTTGCGTGTTGGAAGAACATGAATCATTAGTGGCAGAGAGCAGACTGTGGTAGCCAGCCTTCAAGATGATCCCCAATGATCTCCGCCCCCAGCTGTTCACACTTTTGTGTATTGAGTGTGTACTAGACATGATTTGCTCATAATAAATAGAAAAAGACAGAAGTGATGGTGTGTGGCTTAGAGATTAGGCCATAAGAGGAGATGTGTCTTCTCTTTCTTTCAAATCACTTGCTCTGGGGAAAACCAGCTGCCTTCTTGTGAACTGCTCTATGGGGAAAACCACACAGCAAAGAACTGAGGCCTTTTACCAACAGCTGGTGAAAAATAGCCTCCTTCCAACAACCACATGAGTAGGCCATCTTGGAAGTGACTCCACCAGCCCCATTCAAGCCCAGAGATGACTGCAGTCCCAGCTAATATCTTGACTGCAGCCTCATTAAATATCCTGAACTGAAACAATGAGAGATGTTAATTATGTGTTATTTAAGCTACTAAACTATTGAGCAATTTGTTGATGCAGCAGTAGATAACTAATACACCATTGAAGGAATATACTACAATTTGTTTTATTTGTTTATTTTCTTGCTGATGAACATTTGGGTTGCTTTAGCTCTGGGGCTATAATAAAGCTGCTATGAATATTCTATATGTCTTTTTGTGGACATATGTGCTCAAAATCTCTTGAGTATAAACCAAGGTGTCAAATTTGCTAGGTCATATAGTGTTGGTACATGTTTAGTCTTTGTAGATACTAAGAAATAGTTTTCCAAAGTTGTATCAATTTACATTTACATTATCATGAACTGTATGTATGTATGTATGTATGTGATCACCCCTCCACCACACACACACCCAATTCATAGGTTGAAAGCCTAGACTCCACTGTGGTTGTATTTGGAGTAAAGAAGTGATTAAGGTTAAATGAGGATAGAGCTCTGATCTGATAGGATTAGTGTCCTTATGAGAAGAGCCACCAGAGCACACACTCTCTCCCTCCCCACCCCACCCCTGCCTGTACACAAAGAGATCATGTGAGGACTGCAGGGAGAATGTGGCCATCTAAACACCCGGGAGGGAGATCTCACCAGAAATTGAATTTGCTGGCACCTTGATGGACTTCTAGCCTCCACAATAGTTAGGGGTAGGGAAGTCTATTGTGTAAGCCGCAGACTGAGATCCCCGTCAAGAACGTAGGCGAGTCCCAGATGCCCCACACCTTCCCCGACACTTGGTAATATCAATACCTTACATTGTAGCCATTCTAGTGGAGGCACAGTACTAGCTCACTCTGGTTTTCATTTGCATTTTCCTGTTGTATCATGAAGTTGAACATCTTTTTATATACTTATTGCCCAATTGGACATTCCCTTTTGTGAAGTGCCAGCTCAAGCCTTTTGCTTATTTTTTTTTAGCTGAACCTTCCCAACCACCTCATACTTTTGCTCATTTTTAAATTGAGTTATTTGTCTTTTTCTTATTGATCTGTAGAAGTTCTCAATACAGTCTGAATATGAATCCTTTGTCAGATATACCTATTGAAAATATGTTCCCCCACTCTGTGGCTTGCCTTTTCACTGTCTTACGAGTGTCTTTGATGAAGTTCCTAATTTTAATAAAGTCCAATTTATCAAACCAGGAAAGTTTTGAGAGAGAAAGGGGACACTATTAACAATTACATCAAGATACAAGATGTAAAATCTTGGGTGAACCATGTCATATGATTATTACAGACTATACGGATCATATTATGATATTAGGGATCATATGTCCAATGCCCATCCTAGGGTTATAGATGGAAATTGATACCCAGAGAGATGTATTCTGGTTAACCAACTTGTCCAGGCCACAGAGGAAGTAACTGGAGGTGTGAGGTCTTAATTCAGGATTTGTCTGACTCCACCACCTACCTCCATACACTGTTTGGTACTAATGATAACACGACAGCCACCGATATCTACCAGGGCGCTGGTATTTGTAAAACCCTTTCATGCAAATCGTCTCACTTATGCCTCTTCCCATTGACAGAGACTCAGGCTGGGACCACTGGTCTTTGTTTATAAGGCTGGAAAACGGAAGCTCTGATCTGTGGCGCTGGTGCCAGCAACAGCCCTCCAAATGACTGCTACTGTGGCGCTGGGTGAACAAGCCTGCAAATAGACTTCATCCATTCCCACGAGGGCACACTAGTGGTGCTGACAGTTTTCTGCTAAATGACTATTAAAGCAACATTTACTGAGCCCCTGCTATTTCTCAGACCCTGTGGGTGGTGGGGACACAGAGGTGGCCAAGACCAGAACCTGCCTCAAGGAGCCTCCTGTCTGCTGGAGGGGCCTCTATCTTAGGGAAGAAGGTCTTCTCTCTAAAGCAGTGGTTCTCAACCTTTCCCAGGGGTCGCCTAAGACCATCGGAAAACACATATTTTCGATGGTCTTAGGAACCGAGACACCGCTCCTCTATCGTCTCCAGGCCCACATGCAGATACGCCCACATACGAGTACCCGGGGATCCCTGTGAAAGGGTCGTTGGACCCCCAAAGAGGTCGTGCCCCACAGGTTGAGAACCGCTGCTAAAGCTTTCCCTAAGGTCCTACTTGCAGCCAGGCTGCGGGGAGGGGCTGAGGACAGGGCCGGATCACAAGTGGCCCTTTACCTTGGGTTGCTCCGTCTGCTGGAGAGGCACCAAGAAACTACTGCCCAAAACAACCCCAGGCAGCACCGAGAAACCGCCCAGAGCGGAAGCGGGAGAGTGAGGGGTGGGAGGCAGTGCTGGGGACGGGGCGTCGTTAGCATCTGAGGGTTTTGACCCAAGGGCCCAGTCCCTAACAGGGAGCATGGGCCATAGTCAGGAGCCAGGACTGTGAACCCAGACGGCTCTGGCCTCAAATTCTGACCACGAGCACGGTGCTCAGCCAGTGTGTCACCTAGCTCACAGGTCTGTTGTGAGAGTGGAACGAATTAATACAAGTGAACCTAACACTGGCGAGCAGTGCGTGCTTGGATAATAAGCGCTGTGAACGACATCCTGTCTTATTCAAACGTGAGGGAGCAGGAATCGCTTTCCTTTAAAAACAAAAGACGTAAAAGCCCTGGAAGCTCTGACGGGGTGGTGAACTAACTACGCACCCACTTCTGCCCCGAAAGGGCTGATCAAAGAAAGGGGCGGGGCGGGGCGGGGCGCCGGGGGTGGGCGCGCGCGCGCGCGCGGCCTCTGCGTGCGCGCGACCGAGGCCTCTTTGCGCGCGGGCGGCCGAGGCCTCTTTGCGCGCGCGCGCGGCCGCGCCTCGGTCTCGCCGGAGGCGTGGCCGTTGAGGAGCCGGCCGTGTAGTGAAACGGCCGCCAACGCGCGCGGGTTGACGGCTGCGAGTCCATCTTGATGGCGCTCCGCTGTTTGCGCGCGAGGCCTTTTTTCCCAGAGCAGTTGTGAAGCGAAAGGCGGAAAGGGGGTGGGGGGGGAAAGATAATTCGGAAATAACTTGACCAGGAATGTGGGTGGCTTCGACTCGCGCAGTAACGGCCCCAGGGGGTGCGGGCCTGAAGACGTGGCAGGAAAAATGGGCCCTTGGACCTGGACGAGCTGGAGCCCGAGGAGGAAGTGGACGTGCTGGAGCCCGAGGAGGATTTCGAGCAGTTCCTGCTGCCGGTCATCCACGAGATGCGGGAGGACATCGCGGCGCTCACCCGGGAGCACGGGCGGGCGTACATGCGGAACAGGAGCAAGTTGTGGGAGATGGACAATATGCTCATCCAGATCAAAACGCAGGTGGAGGCCTCGGAGGAGAGCGCGCTGAACCACCTGCAGAATCCAGACGACGAAGTCGAGGGCAGAGTGACCAAAAGGTGCGAGAAGGCTGAGGAGAAGGCCAAGGAGATCGCGAAGATGGCAGAGATGCTGGTGGAGCTGGTCTGGCGGGTAGAGAAGAGCGAAGCGTGCTGAGCGCGCCGGCGGGAAGCCGGTAAACGCCGTCAGCGTGGTTCCGCCGCCTTCTGCGTGATAGTAACAGCCGAGGAATGCAGCCCCAGGCTCCCGGCATCGACACCTGGGCCGTGGGAGCGAAGCTGGGGTGGAGAGGAAGGGGAATGCGTGCTACTTGGGAAAGGTGTTAACAGACGCTGGTTTTTATGGCCCCGCCCTCCCCCGCTGGTAATTATAAAAAAGTTATGATAACCGGGTTTACTTTTGTGAAACAAAAACACCCATTGTAATAGGACAGTCGCTGGAGGTAGACCTGCCGAGGCACTACCTAAGGAAACTAAAGTCTGGAGGATGGGAGGAAACCCAAGGAAACCCAGGTCCTAGAGCAAAATGGGGGGGGGGGGGGGACAAAAGTGGGTGGTTGACAACACCGGGAAAGAGAAGTAGAAAAGTGTGAAGCTGTAGGCCTTCGTTCGACACTTCCAGGTTTTTCTAGAAGGCAGATACGGGAGAGGACCCTGTCTGAAAGAAGTGATATTCTGTATTCTGGTGGGTGGATAGTTTTTTTGTGTGTTTTTTTTAACAACATCAGGATGCAGATATCTGAGGATGTCTTGATGGTAAATTTCTTCCAATTGTGCTTTAGGTTCACAGCTGATGGACTCTGGCCAACTGGTAAGGATGGGCCGACACCTGGAGGAACTGCAACAGCTCGTTTCTGTCTCTGTGTGGGTTTGACCCCCACGGAACAGTCTCCCTTACACTCAGTGACCTCGATATGGGTTTAGGTTGTCAAATGTATTTGGTTCCTGAAAAAAGAACTTTTGTTTGAGACGTACTCGTAAGAGAAACAGGGCTGAATCAAAAGTTGTTTCAGTGGTCACGTTTATTGTTATTTTGTCATGTTTTTGAGACGTTGGGGGCACAGCCTTAGCATTTCGCTGTTACCCACGTGACTTACTTGTTTTCTGGAACTTTGGACCACGTGAAGACTTGGGGTCAGAGTCTTCCAACTTTAGATGTGCAGTTTGGATGTAGCTGGTGAAGACCGTAGGAGTGAGACTGCTTGGGATAAGCCGGGCAAGAACTAGAAGAAGGCAGTTGAAGACGGAAGACAATCGTGTATATATTTTGGAACTTGAATTCCTCTGTGAGACAAAGGAGGAGCTATGTTTTGTGGCATATTGTCTGGTGTGTATTGTGGAAGCTGTCAGGTGAGCTTATTTAGACGACCTAGCGTACTCTAAGTAACAAGTTGCATAGGGAGTGATGGAGCACATTCACTATTGTAATACTGTCACTCATTACAGGGGTTTCAGAGCATCACATGAATGAGCCAATCTACAGAGAGCCTTGGGAGGCGGGAGAAGGGAAAAGACGCCCTCAGGGCCCATCAAGTCCCCTCTAGTTCATCCGGGTAGTAGACCTGGCCGCCCGGGGTTTGAGGTCAAAATCAAACATGGCATAAGTGTTCATTTGCTTTGAAAAAGAAAGACCTAAAAAGCCTTTAAAAAAAAATGTTTGTTTAGAAGATCAGTGCCCCTGTGTGTGTTAATAAGACTCCTAATTAAATTTCTTTTGAAATGGATGTTCTTCCTTGAGTGTCATCATCAAATGGGAGAGAACTGCTTGTAGTTTGAGGCTCCCTGTAAGCTCTTCTCTGTGAGGAAGAATTGTTTACGGAAGGTGCGTGGGGATAAGATGAAAGAACACTCATTTCTTAACAGAAACAAATTTCAGGCCATCCTGTGATCTAAGCCCCTGCTTTTCGGCAGCTGAAGTCTGTAGTCAGTCAGAGACAACATAGCGTGCTTCCTATCTTGTCTAAAGCACTAGGGATGTAAAGGTAAGACACGCTCTAGGAAGTGGTGGGACAGAAATGGGAACAAGTTATTGCAATAGAGTGTGCTCAGCGCTGCATGGGGAGCCTGGAAAGCTTTTCAGAGCAAGTGACGGAACTTGCCCTTGAATGCTGAGCACAGTTTCTGAAAGTAGAAATGAGTGAAGGCATCAGAGACGCGGAGCGAGGGGAGCAAAGCCCTGGTGAGCTCCAGCGCTGGGGACGGGGCCAGTGAGCTGGGCCCTAAGGGTATGGCGGGAGTTGTGGGAGATGGGGTGAGAGAGGTAAGCAGGGATAAGCGATCTTCATTAAGGAGCTCATTCATCTTCATAAGCCTGTACTTCAACGAGGTTTCACCCTGGGGTGTTTCTTACAGAATGCTAGTGGATGCGCAAAGCCGTAGGGCAGGCATTTTCCAGAACTGCTAAATTGGTAAAAAATAAATACATGTTAATGATGACAAATTGAGATATGTGTTTTGAATTGATATGTAAAAAAGACATTTTTATAATAAATGCCTGGGCACCTAGCGAGGTCATATTTCCAGAATATGAAATATGCTTTGGACCAGCATCCTTGTTCCTACTCCTGCCTTTCTGGGCTCGTCAGGGAAACAGACAAGTACGGCTGGGAGCCACCGACACTGATGAGCAGGGAATGGCCATGACCTCTGCAGTCTGGGAGGCTCCTGGGCTGCACGCGGTGTATGGATGAGGGGAGTTCGAGTGAAGGCCGGAAGGCGAGGCTGGGGCAGAAGTGCCGACGGGACTGAGGCACAGGAGTGGGAAGGACCCGGAGGCTTTCCTGGGGTCAGGACCTGGTGTCCTGTCAGTCAGCCAGACTGAGTTACAAAGTTCTGACAGCTCACCCCGGAGCCTTAGCTTACAGTCAGGAAGGTGTGTTCCTCACATCTGTGTCCATTGCAGGTCCGTGGCCCCATACTTAATCCCAGAACCTGGCTGAAGGCGTAGCTCCTCTGTAAGGTGTTAAGGATCTTCATTTAGGAAAATGTTCAGTATAAACTACTTCACTGATTTAAAAACAGCTGACTACACACACACGTGTGTATATATTTATACAGTGTATAAATACATTTTCCCCTTGATTAACTGACCGTATAGTACACTCACAGGGTTGCATTGCCTGCCTTCAGTATCCCAGGGCTTGATTCTGAGCCTTCATGGCCAGAGCCTTAGAGTCTCCTGAATCGTTTTTGGTCCTGGGCTCTGATGCAGTGCATTGTGGCGATAAGCTAATTGTCTTAACCTGAGCTTGTGAGGAAAACGTAATTCAGAGGCATAGAGGGGTGTGTATTTCCCTATTTGTTTTAACTGACAAATTTTCCCCGTTGGATTCATATCAGTAGAACTTAAACAGCTTCAAAGACAGCTAGAAATTTGGGATTGGCTTGTCATTAGTCTGTCATGGATGAGCCGGTCATGGCCAGACTCCTTTCGCTCTGAAATCTGAAATTCTAATTTCTCTTCCAGAAGACCTGGGAAATTCTACAACCTTTGCTTGGATTGGCTGGCTTGCGATGCCTGAGTCTTCAGTAATGTTTTGTTTCAGTACTTCTCCGAGTTTTGCTTTTTCTGAAAAGACGAATGCCCGATATCCACATGGCTCACTGTGCCATTTTCTGTCCCATATCCCCAACTAACCAATCCATCCACCCCGGCCCACTTTCTCCCTCTCAGAAGTGTTTGCATTCTTTGTAGGAAGACTCACCCACACGGACACACAAGGTTGTTGCAGCAGCACACCCATGTGAGCACCTCCTGGTAATCAAGGTTTGGATATTCTAGGAGAGCTGGCTGTGAGCTCGAGGCTGACCCCCCACCCACCCCAGGGGCTTCTGAGGGAAGGCAGGCTGGCAGCTGTGGGGAGAGAAGTCAGGGCGGTGGGAAAGGCGTGGCTGGGCATGTAGGGAGAGCCCACAGGGCCCCCACGGGGGCCATTAGAGGTCGCCTGGGAGGCCTTCATGCCGCAGGTGTGTGGGGCATAAGCGCTGGGGCAAACCAACAACAGAGTGAAGAAAACAGGAGCAGCAAATAGAGAAAGAAGCTACGGCCTCGGCCCCTCCCACGCTGTGGGCACTGCCAGCCCAAACCCGGAGAGGTGCGTTCAAGCCTCTGCTCAGACGTTTCCTTACCAGGGAGGCCCTCCTGGGCTCTCCTGCTTAAAACAGCACTGCCGTCCACCGTTCCCACCCTTTGTGTTTCTTCTCACTGCCGGACATGGGGCTAGTCGAGTACTGTCTGACTTCTCCCGGTAGAATGTCAGCCCCCTGAGGGCACGGCCTCTGTCCACTTCTGAAATCCTGGCACTCAGACCAGTGCTTGGCTGTTACATGATTGGTGCTTATTAATACTCGAAAGAATGAGATGCAATTGGGTATGTCAGTTTAATTGAAATTTTATTGTGTCTGCTTACCAGTGCAGATGAGAAGTTTCTCAGCCAGGAACATCAGTGTCATTGTTGACACCTGCCTCCTTAGCAGCCCCCACCCCCCGCCCCAGTCCCTACATTGATTCTACCTCCAGAGCACACGTTGTATTCACTCAGCTCCCTCCAGCTCCTCCAGGCCACTGGTGCCAATAGTCTCCTCACTGGCCCCGCTGCTTGCAGCTTTACTCCAGTTAGAGTGAGTGGGGCTATGTCAGTTCCCTGCTTAAAACCGTTGAAAACTCCATTTTACCACAGATGTTTTAATTTATTCATCAATGTTACTTAGCTCCTACTGTATACCAGGCACAGTTCTAGGCACCAGGAGACACAGCAGTGAACAGACAGTCCCAGAGCTCTGCCTCGAGCCTGATTCTAGTGGTGGAGATTCACAGGAAGCAGGATAAATCAAGTAGCATGTTACCTGGAGATGAGTGCTTGCGTTTCCTTGACATAAATAGTTCATACATTACGAGAATTTCTCCATCTCTTACCCCGGTTTTCCGCAGCTGCTGCCTCCGATTTAAGCCCCGCCCCGCTCTCAAGTTTTCATCCTCACAATGTTCCATCTTTCCTCTCTCTGGTTTGCCTTCCACCTGCCTCTTTCTAAACTCTAACACCTACTTCAGCCGAGCTCTGGCTGTCTGAACGCAGCCTGTCTGCAGCCTCGGTGTGTGGCTTTCCCACACACTCCACTTCTTGGGTGAAGCAGTTCTGCCAGGTGGCTGCAGTTCCTAAAAATGGGTGTGTGTGTGTGTATATATAGTTAATTCTTGTTATTTGCATTGTTATGTTCTATAAAGTCACCATAAACACTGAATTAGCAAATACTGAGTCATTGCCCTCGGGGAAATGCAGGCTTAGGTTCCTGCCAGCCTGTGGCCACATTTGCATCAACCAATCAATACAGAACGTTGTTTTATGTGTGTTTCTGTTTAAAGACATGTTATTTAATATGCATTATTAATTCACTAACATTGAACTCACAGCCAACAGCACTGTATCTTATGCCTCAACGAACCTTATCTCACACTCATTTCCTCCGTGAGGCACGTCACAGCCTTCCTGCAGTTAGGAACATGTCTCTTTATCTATAAATATATACATATACTTACAAATACAATTGTACCTTGGTTTGCGAGCATAATTTGTTCCGGAAACAAACTACTTGTAAGGCACCGCTCATTTACCACGTTAAAATGTATTAGAAATGTTTGCTCGTCTTGTGGAACACTCGCAAAACACGTTACTCGCAATCCAAAGTTTTACTTTACTCCCTAGTTCTGTCTAGTGGGAGGGTCTGAGAGCAGTGAGCACACCTAGCTTCTAAATACCATTTTCCACAGAAAGGAACATGGGCCACTTGGAGAAATGTTGCTCTCTAGGGCTAGGGCAAGACAAGTATGAGATGCATCCAGACATCTTGCTGTGACGGAAAGCAAGGACATGTTAAAAAAACATTGGGGATATGTCAAAAGGACACAGAGGCCAGCTTGAATGGGCTCTCACTGGCAAATCAGGGTCAATTTGGTCATCAGAACAAATAACAGTAGTAACAAGAACAACCCATTGAATAATATGGGAAATCATGAGTTCACATAAATAGGAATACAGGAATAAATTAAATGCTTGATGAGGCACAGAATATTTGCATAGTTTCAAAGGACCTCGCTACAAAATGCTTGTTGGTTACAAAGGTGAAAAGAATAGCTAGGTAGTGGAGAGACTTGATTTGGCCAGTGGGCGCCAGTTCAGGCTGGCTTCTGAGTCCTTTGGACATTCTGGTCATTATGTCACAAGATGTTCTAGACACAGCAAGGTGTCCTTGCCCCAGCTCTGAACTGGCTGTTTCTTCAAATACCATCTTAATCCAGGGATCAAAGTGGCCATGGTCAGTTGTGGGACAAGCTGAAAGCACACGCCATCTGATAAGACGCAGCAAGAAGAACATCGCATTGCTTCTCTGATAATCTTGCCAAAGATACGTGACTCAGACATAGTCACGAGACAGCATGACACATTCAAATGGACGGAAATTCTACAAAGTAACGGCCTGTAATCTTCAAAGTGTCAAAATCCCAGGGTGGCCAAGGTGAGGAGAGCAGCTCATTGCAGAGAAGTGGGGGCTGGGGAGGCTCTGGTGTGGAACAGGTCACCCTGTGAGCACCCAGGACAATGGCAGGACTTGGGGGAGAGAGGAAGGAAGGAGGTTCCAAAGGCCACAGTGAATGATGAGATGGGAGAGGAGAGGGGGGAGGGGGTGTAGCTGGACAACAGTGCTCGAAAGGGGCAGGGCTTTGACAAGAGGGAGAGCAAGGAATTGTCTAGAAATGGCCCCAGAAACAACACTAATGGCAGCACGTGGTACATGGGAAGAGGGGTGGCTTGCCTTGACAGGTCTGCAAGAGAAGTGGGCGCTGTCCTCGTGACAGGCAAGGAGCACTGGGTGGAGGGCGGGGCAGGTGCTGACGATGGTCCCCCAGTACCTGCAGACCAGGGGCAGGTTCGGGGCCTGCGAGTGGAGCTAGGGCCGTTTCTGAGCGGGAAGGGGCGACGTGATGGGAAGCTGCGGTGGAGGGCACCTCATTGGGCCCCCTCCTACAGGTCCACTGAGAGGAGAGCACGGGCTGACAGGCCTGGAGAACTTAACCCTGAGCTTAGGCTAGGCCTAGCAGACAGGGCACCTGACTTGCTGTGCTCAGCCAGAAGTTAGCCAGGCCATGGTGGTCCCAACGCCCACCCCACCTGGAGAAGGTGAGAATGCACTGTCCTCGCTGGGGAACAGAGCTTAGCCAAGAACCAGTTCTGAAAGTCATCAGCAGGGGGCGCTGGCGACAGCCAGAAGGCCAGGCTGCCGAGGCTGCTACTGCAGGGAAAAAATCAGAAACAAGCTACTGCCTGTTTTCCTAAGCACGATGAAGACACTTGACCTGGGTTAAATGCTTTGTTTGTTAAAAAAAAAAAAATTCTGGAAGCAATCCAAGTGTCCATCGATGGATGAATGGATAAGCAAAATGTGGTCCATCCACACAATGGACTATTATTCAGCTTTAGAAAGGAAGGCAATTCTGACGCCTGCTACACGGGGGATGAACCTTGAGGACATTATGCCACGTGAAATAAACCAGACACAAAAAGACAAACACCGTGTGATTCCACTCACATGAGGTCCCTAGGGTAAGCAAGTCAGAGGAAGCAGAACACTGGTTGCCAGGGGTCGGGGGGAGTTGGTTAATGGGTACTGAGTTTCAGTTTGGGAAGATGAAAAACTTCTGGAGGTTGGTTGCACAACAATGTGAAAATACTTACTGAACTGTACATTTTATGTTACATATTTTTACTCCTCTGACCTAGTAATCCTAGGTTAAAAATGGAATTCATTTTGGGGAAATTTTCATTTTGGGGAAATTTAAGACAGAGATTCATGCATGAAAATATTAACTATAGCATGCTTTTAAAAAACCCCAAAAACGTAAGAACTATATCTTTAATAATGAGCAAAGGATGGTATACTCATTCTAGTGAGTTCCCTGCAGCCATTAAAAAATGTTAGTTGGATGTGGCTTTTGCTTCCCAAGGACCTGGATGCCAGGTGCCTCCAGGAAGCTGTGCGCTCCAGAGGTGACTGTGGACTTCACCCACAAGGACCGTGCATTCTGCATCCTCCACAGGGGACTCCAAATAGAAATGGCCGACAGAGAACCACGGGAGGCTGGTGTGTGGGGCAGGGTTCAGCTCTCAAACCAGACATTATTGCCTCTCATTTGGAGGAGGGGGAGGAGCCACGGATAGATGAAGGGCATTCCAGGGCAGCCGTGCAGCTGTGGGAACTACACTTGCCCGGAAAAGCATCTTCAAAGCGGGGCGCTTTGATGGAGACCGCCCTGTGGGATCACAACAGAAAGCGTGACGAAGACGGGCCCTGTTGTCTTCATGAGGCGAGGCTGGAACTTGTAAGGACCTGTCAGAGAAGCCCCAGGGACACTTGCAGGAAGTGGTACGTGGCCATTTGCATACTCCAGCAGTCTGGGTTCTTAGTTGGGGCACGGAGCCCCCCTCTCCCCTCCAGGTGATGACTCAGAAAAGACTTCTCTCCTTTAAGATGGTGAAAAGTGCAGGATGGCTGCGATCTGGAGAACTAGGCTCCGAAGGCCATGCTGCAAGACCCCTGTGAGTTTTTCTAGGTCCCCCGCTTTGCGTCAATTGCCCAACTCCAAGTCTGGGGTGATGGGAGGGTCTAGGGGGGAGGTCCCAGCTCAAGTGCATTCACCCCAGCTATAAGCGAGGCGGGGAGCGAGGGCTCTGGTGTTTGCAGCAGCTTCTGTAGGCTCTGCCTCCTAACCAGGTGATTTGTTATTCACAGGATGGTGACTAATTTGTGAAGGAGCAAGAAAAAAAAGTGATTTCTACTCTGGTCCACCCTTTCAGCTCCCCCATGTCACATTAACTTGACTTTTCACACTATTTAAATGTGTATCTGCTCCTATCTAACCTAATGCAACTCTCCCTCTTACAAAACCACCAGCCATCCCTTCCCCAGCGAGGGACAAACCAGAGCCTCATATCGGTGTGTCCACCGCCAAGTTCAGGGTCCCTCAGTGATGCCCATTTCTGCTCTGGTGATGTCATCCAGTATAAGAAGAGGCTTCAACTGTTGGGTATTCAAAATGATAAGAAGTCTCAAAATCAGGTCAAATTGACCTAATACCTAAGACCCCGCTTGAGCCACTTTGGTTGCTTTCTAAAGAGTTTCACAAAGCTCGGTGATGTGGCCAGCTGTTCACTGGTGGTGATTCTAATCCTCACAATTCATTTATTCTCGAAGTCTGTTACTGTGTTTTACGGTCTTTGTGACAAGAAAAAATAGCATACCATTAGAAAGATGCTACTTGAAAAAACATGTTTGGAGAGATGGAAGATGGAGGACCCAAGGTTTGGTGAGTGGCTGACTGACTGACTGGCTGACTGACTGACTGACTGGATAAATGAATGGATGGATGGATGCATAGCCCACAATCCTCCCTTGGATGCACTCCAGGGTGGCGCTCACTTTGTGCTGACGAATAAACATAAGCAGGGACTGTGCCCTAGCCATCAGGCTGGCACAGGGTGGGCACTCAGGAAATGGCCCATGAATGGCCTCTTACCAAGTGACCTGTGTTGTTGCATCTCCATCTCTCCACTGGACAGGCAATGAGCATGAAGCGACAGATGAGTGAGTTCGTTGGTGTGTGTGGGGGAGGGGGTACTGAGGCTTTAAGGAAATAATCAGTTTCTCTGAGATCAGGGTCATTTCACAAGCATTTTATTTATCAGAGGGCCATCAGCCGGCTCAGCCCAGAGAAATAACTGCCACCCAAGGCTTTCTGGAAGCCAGGGGCCCTCTCACTGTGCCCCCTTCGGAATCTGGGGCAGCAGAGCAGCAGTTCCGTCATGCCTGGAAGTACTTGTGACATGCAGACGTGAGTGCAGCCACAAACACTATGAACTCGTTGAAGTCCACCTCGGCGTCTCCATTGGCGTCCAGGTCCTTGAGCAGTTTGTCCACAGTATCCTTGTCCCTTCCACTCTGGAGGAGACAGAGGGCCAAGGTCAGCGATGAGGGTGCCTGTGTGGGGCCTGGGCCTCCGCCGAGCACCGCCGCTGGGCAGAGGGAGGAAAAGCGAGTTTGTGCAGCCTCTGCTGTCACACAGGCTTGTGCCGGGGCCAGCTCTAAGAGGTGGCGAGCTGCCCTAACGTGTGCTATTCAGGAATTTTTATTTTATTTAGTTTTTAAGAGGATTGTCTTTGGATCGTATAATGTGCTTTAAAATGATTCCCAGGAAATGCACTCACTCATGCTCTATCTGTGTGCACCTCTAGCTTTGTGGGTGTTGCCTTTTAAAAACTTCCCATCACGTTTACTAAACACCCATCTCATCCTGGCACGGAGCCAGCTGCTGTGCATAAACCTCTAGTCCTCACAGCTACCAGGCAAAGAAGGTGTATTATCCGGCGTTGCAGATGAAGAAATGAGGCAGAGGGTGGCAGGGACCTGAGACCCGGGGAAGAAAGGGGTATCTGGGGTTGAGACTAGGCCCAGAGAGGCAAAGTCCCTGCGCTCCCCTCTGCTCGGGCACCCGGGTTGGACCTCAGGGACCCAGGTCTTCTTTGAGAGGGCCTGGTCGGGCGGTGGGGGTCTCTGAGAGCCTGCTCACGTGACAGTGCCAGAGCACTGTCCTCAAGAAGGGACCCAGCACCACCACAGTGCAGATCCGAAAAGCAGCAGCAGGGGGCGCTGACGGCCCAGGCCCGGATGCGGCAAATTCTATAGTAATCAAACAGTGGTGTGGCCTTGTGGGGAACCCCTCGCAGCCATCAATAGGGAGCTTCCTGAAGTTTGTAGCCGGACAGCCACCGAGTGTTTATGAAGCTCCCACTGTGCCAGGCGCCGGGCTGGGCACGGAGGAAACGGCCACAAGTGGACGCTGCCGAGCGCAGTGCTTCCTCCACTTGGCGGGGCGTCAGCATCGGCTGGAGGCTGGGCTCGTTGAAGGGCCTGAGCCCCCTGCTTTTGCCAGGTTTCCCCGTGACTCTGATGAAACCCAAGTTTGAGAATCCCTGACTTAGCTGCTGCTTCTCCAAATGTGCTCCCAGGACCACCTGCACGAGGCGGGGGTGGGGGGTGGG